TATACCCATGGCTTGTGCAAGAAATAAATCATTTAAATGACAATTTTGTGTAAAAAAAAAAAAAAAAAAAAGTTTTTGTCATTTTCCAGAAACTTGTGGAAAAAAAATAAATCTTCCATGGACACAATATTCTCTCAGCAGATAGCTTAGGTGTCTGCTTTCCAAAAAGGGGTCATTTGGGGTGTTTGTTCTATCCTGGTATTTTAGCACCTCAAGAGATGTGATGGGCGGTCAGAAAGTAAAAGCTGTGTAAATTTCAAATTATCTATACCATAGTTTGTAGACGCTATAACGTTCACACAAAGCAATCAATATACACTTATTGGGATTTTTTTTACCAAAAACATGTAGCAGAATACATTTTGGCTTAAATTTATGACTAACTTTGAGTTTACGATATATTTTTTATAGCTGAAAGTAAAAAAAATTGTTTTTTTTTTTCAAGATTTTCGTGTTTTTTTTGTTTATAGCGCCAAAAATAAAAAGCGCACAGGTGATCAAATACCACCAAAAGAAAGCTCTATTTGTGCGAAAAAAAGGACGTAAATTTCGATTGGGTACAGCATTGCATGACCGCGCAATTATCATTTGAATTAGTGCAGCGCTGTATAGCAAAAAAAGGCCTGGTCATTAAGGGGGTAAATCCTCTGGGGCTCAAGTGGTTAAGCAAATAACATATGCTGTAATGTTATTGTTTCAGTTGAATAAATCTATTTAAATTGTTATTATTAAGGGATTGATTATTTTTCTCCTTCCCAAGTACAACAGAAAAGTTGTCCAAATATGAATGATTAACCTATTAAACTGGGGATAAAAAAACTAATATGAAAAGTTGTTATTCTAAAAATCTTCATCTACTTGCATATTAAAGTTATACCAGCAAGAATTAGTCTATGTAGAAAACTATGATTTAAATCAAGCCTTACTGACTAGTGATTTAAATAGTGATTTAAATCAGTTTGATTTAAATCAAATCCACCCTGGTGCTGCAGCTGAATGGCATTCCTGCAAAGGAAGCAGCAATGGTAAACAGTAAAACTTTAATTCAACAACAAAAATGACAACTATTTTGGTGTTCTACTTTTTCTTTTTTAAACTTCCAGATGTTAGGGACTCTCAAAATTAGATTTACTGACTACCTAACATCTTTCAAGACATTGTGTAAAGGTCTACCCTAGACTGTGCTGTGCTGTACCATAAACTAATAGCCCACTAGTGTAATGGTAGCGACGGAAGCAGTTCTTGAGACAGGGACCAGGTTGGCCAGGACAGGAAGGACAAAAAAAAAAAAAAATCGGGTGTCATGCCTAATTCCGTGTCTGCTACAGTCATGACATCTTTTTTGGGGTGTCCTTTGGGTTGGTGTAGCAGGAATGGCATCGGGAAAATGCAGCTAGCTAACTGCATCTGGCTTGGGGGTTTGGGCCACAGCACCTTCTGGATACAAAAGGGCCATTCCTGGAATTTTAGGAAGGATCCACTACGTCCAGTTGCTTTGTAAAGCGTTATATGGAGCCAATTGAAATAAACAGACATTTTTTTTGTACCAACGTCTGGCTTTATTGCAAACTAAGTATGGCTTCATCATCTGGTCATTGAAGTTCACCCCTCCCATGTTTAAGGTTATAGTTAGAGATGAGCGAAGTATTCAAAAATTCGATTCGACTGATTCGGCGAATTCGTGGAAAAATTTCGATTCGAGTCGAATATATTCGCTGCGAATTTAACTTATAAAAGGGTGTTTCTAGGCTTCAGAGAGCCTTTATATTAGTGCAGAACACTGTACCTTTAATTTAAATGCCCTTGGAGTCTGCTGGGGAAGAGAAATAATACTGACAGTCAGTATGACATGCAGATGAGTGCCGTCGATCTTAGAATCACCGCACACTTCACTCATTTGGGCAGTCACGGGGCCAAAACCAGAGTGTGGAGCCACAGTGTGGCGGTGGAGGCAGCAGCAATGGGAGGCCATACAGCACCCTATGACAAAAATGGAAACCACCAGCAGTGTGAGGAGACCTGAAAGTGGCACATGGCAGAGTGTGGCGATGGAGACAGCAGCAATGGGAGGCCGTACAGGGACCCATGACACACTCTGGACGTGGCAGCAGCATGAGGAGGCTGTACAGGGGCCGATGACAGATTACGGGCCTGGCAGCAGCATGAGTAGTCGGTACGGGGGCCCATGGCAGATTAGGGGCCTGGCAGCAGCTATGGGAGGCCCGTAATCTGCCAGCACCCTAAGATAAAAAATGGAACACACCAGCAGTGTGAGGAGACCTGAAAGTGGCACATGGCAGAGTGTGGCGATGGAGACAGCAGCAATGGGAGGCCGTACAGGGACCCATGAGAGACTCTGGACCTGGCAGCAGCATGAGGAGGCGGTATAGGGGCCCATGGCAGATTAGGGGCCTGGCAGCAGCTATGGGAGGCCCGTAATCTGCCAGCACCCTATGACAAAAAATGGAACACACCAGCAGTGTGAGGAGACCTGAAAGTGGCACATGTTTGGGGCATGATTCATGGCGGATTTAGTCAGTTGTGTCAGGAACTGGTGGTTTGAAATCCAGGACTAATCCACGCCTGATTCATTTTCACAAACGTGAGTCTCTCCACACTTTGGGTGGACAGCATGTCCTCCGCGGAGGCAATACCTCCTGCCCACTAAACACGCGCTCCGATGCCACGCTACTGGCCGGTGCATGGACAGCCTTTCAAGGGCAAATTCAGCTAGTTGGGGCCAAAGGTCAAGTTTCGTTGCCCATAGTCAAGGGGATTGTCTACCTCGGTTGGCAGGGTGCTGTCCAAGTAGGCCTAAGCCTGTTGTTTGAGGTCCTGCTCTAGGTCCACCTGATGCTGCTGCTGCTGCGGCTGGTTAGTAGTTTCCTCACTGCGCTGGTGAAGGCCGTTAAAGCTACTCATCGACTGCAGACTGAGGCAGCTGCTGCTGGTGGAGCTACCACTGCTCCTACCACCCCACCCCTCCCCTGCTGCCATGGCAGCGGAACGCGAGCGCACAGGGCCCACAGTGTCTGAGGATGGACATTGGCGCAGACAGGCATGAGACCAGCTGACTACATAGGTGGTTTTTATAGTACGTTATTTTGGCCTCCCTCTCAGCAGGTGTGAAAAAGGCCACCATTTTTGAACGGTAGCGAGGGTCCAACAAGGTGGACAGCCAAAAGTCATCCCTCTGTCTGATGGTTATTATTCGGCTGTCGGTACGCAAGCAAGCGAGCATGCTATGGGCCATTTGTGCCAAGGAATGCGAGGGACTTCCCTGCCTCCATCTCCACAGCATACTGCCACGGTGCGTGGGTCCTCTGTCTCCTCTTCCTCCTCCTCTACCAGATGCTCCTGCTCCTCCACTCCTGTCCGCTGAGTGGAAAAACCACCCATTTCACTCAATAATTCCTGAGCACCAATGTCCTCCTCTACCTCCTCCTCTTCTTCCTGTCCTGCCCCCACAGGGGTCATGTGGCGTTGAGATCTGTGGCGCCACGTCTACCGCAGGCCCTGACCAGGCCATTGTTAACAGCATTTGGACCTGGACGTGCAACAGAGGAATGACGTCGTTCATCCCATAGGGCCTGCCGACTCACGAATAGCGTGGCCTCCTCAAAGGGCCTGAGCAAGCGGCAGGTGTCACGCATGAGCTGCCAATGGCTGACATCTAAGTTACACAGGGAGTACCTTTATCCGCTTTTAACATCAGGAAATCTGTGATGGCCTTTTGCTGTTCGTAAAGGCGGTCTAACATATGTAGGGTTGAATTCCACCTTGTTGCAACGTCACAGCATGAGGAGTCGGTACGGGGCCCATGGCAGATTACGGGGCCTGGCAGCAGCAATGGGAGGCCCGTAATCTGCCAGCACCCTATGACAAAAAATGTAACACACCAGCAGTGTGTGAGGAGACCTGAAAGTGGCCATGGCAGAGTGTGGCGATGGAGACAGCAGCAATGGGAGGCCGTACAGGGACCCATGACAGACTCTGGACTTGGCAGCAGCATGAGGAGGCGGTATTATAGGGGCCCATGGCAGATTAGGGGCCTGGCAGCAGCTATGGGAGGCCCGTAATCTGCCAGCACCCTATGTCAAAAAATTGAACACACCAGCAGTGTGTGAGGAGACCTGAAAGTGGCACATGGCAGAGTGTGGCGATGGAGACAGCAGCAATGGGAGGCCGTACAGGGACCCATGACAGACTCTGGACTTGGCAGCAGCATGAGGAGGCGGTATAGGGGCCCATGGCAGATTAGGGGCCTGGCAGCAGCTATGGGAGGCCCGTAATCTGCCAGCACCCTATGTCAAAAAATTGAACACACCAGCAGTGTGAGGAGACCTGAAAGTGGCACATGGGCATGAGACACAGCAATGTAGACCTGGCAGCAGCATGAGCAGCTGAGCGGTACAGGGGCCCATGGCAGATTAGGGGCCTGGCAGCAGCTATAGGAGGCCCGTAATCTGCCAGCACCCTATGACAAAAAATGGAACACACCAGCAGTGTGAGGAGACCTGAAAGTGGCACATGGCAGAGACACTGTGGACCTGGCAGCAGCAGGAGGAGGCGGTACAGGGGCCCATGGCAGATTAGGGGCCTGGCAGCAGCTATGGGAGGCCCGTAATCTGCCAGCACCCTATGTCAAAAAATTGAACACACCAGCAGTGTGTGAGGAGACCTGAAAGTGGCACATGGCAGAGTGTGGCGATGGAGACAGCAGCAATGGGAGGCCGTACAGGGACCCATGACAGACTCTGGACTTGGCAGCAGCATGAGGAGGCGGTATATAGGGGCCCATGGCAGATTAGGGGCCTGGCAGCAGCTATAGGAGGCCCGTAATCTGCCAGCACCCTATGTGACAAAAAATGGAACACACCAGCAGTGTGAGGAGACCTGAAAGTGGCACATGGCATGAGACACTGTGGACCTGGCAGACAGACACAGCGGCATGAGGAGTCGGTACAGGGGCCCATGGCAGATTAGGGGCCTGGCAGCAGCTATGGGAGGCCCGTAATCTGCCAGCACCCTATGTCAAAAAATTGAACACACCAGCAGTGTGTGAGGAGACCTGAAAGTGGCACATGGCAGAGTGTGGCGATGGAGACAGCAGCAATGGGAGGCCGTACAGGGACCCATGACAGACTCTGGACTTGGCAGCAGCATGAGGAGGCGGTATAGGGGCCCATGGCAGATTAGGGGCCTGGCAGCAGCTATGGGAGGCCCGTAATCTGCCAGCACCCTATGTCAAAAAATTGAACACACCAGCAGTGTGAGGAGACCTGAATGGCAGTGGCACATGGCATGAGACACTGTGGACCTGGCAGCAGCATGAGGAGGCGGTACAGGGGCCCATGGCAGATTAGGGGCCTGGCAGCAGCTATGGGAGGCCCGTAATCTGCCAGCACCCTATGAAAAAAAATGGAACACACCAGCAGTGTGAGGAGGAGACCTGAAAGTGGCACATGTTTGGGGCATGATTCATGGCGGATTTAGTCAGTTGTGTCAGGAACTGGTGGTTTGAAATCCAGACTAATCCACGCCTGATTCATTTTCACAAACGTGAGTCTCTCCACACTTTGGGTGGACAGTCGTGTCCTCCGCGGAGTTACAATACCTCCTGCCGCACTAAACACGCGCTCCGATGCCACGCTACTGGCCGGGCATGACAGCCTTTCAAGGGCAAATTCAGCTAGTTGGGGCCAAAGGTCAAGTTTCGTTGCCCAGTAGTCAAGGGGATTGTCTACCTCGGTTGGCAGGGTGCTGTCCAAGTAGGCCCAAGCCTGTTGTTTGAGGTCCTGCTCCAGGTCCACCTGATGCTGCTGCTGCTGCTGCGGCTGGTTAGTAGTTTCCTCACTGCGCTGGTGAAGAAAGCTACTCATCATCGACTGCAGACTGAGGCAGCCGCTGCTGGTGGAGCTGCCACTGCTCCTACCACCCCACCCCTCCCCTGCTGCCATGGCAGCGGAACGCGAGCGCACAGGGCCCACAGTGTCTGAGGATGGACGTTGGCGCACAAAGGCAGAGACCAACTGACTACATAGGTGGTTTTTTATAGTACGTTATTTTGGCCCTCCCTCTCAGCAGGTGTGAAAAAGGCCACCATTTTTGAACGGTAGCGAGGGTCCAACAAGGTGGACAGCCAAAAGTCATCCCTCTGTCTGATGGTTATTATTCGGCTGTCGCTACGCAAGCAACCGAGCATGCTATGGGCCATTTGTGCCAAGGAATGCGAGGGACTCCCTGCCTCCATCTCCACAGCATACTGCCACGGTGCGTCTGGGTCCTCTGTCTCCTCCTCCTCCTCCTCACAGATGCTCCTGCTCCTCCACTCCTGTCCGCTGAGTGGAAAAACCACCCATTTCACTCAATAATTCCTGAGCACAAATGTCCTCCTCTACCTCCTCCTCTTCTTCCTGTCCTGCCCCCACAGGGGTCATGTGGCGTTGAGATCTGTGCGCCACGTCTACCGCACCCTGACCAGCCATTGTTAACAGCATTTGTTCCAGGACGTGCAACAGAGGAATGACGTCGTTCATCCCATAGTCCTGCCGACTCACGAATAGCGTGGCCTCCTCAAAGGGCCTGAGCAAGCGGCAGGTGTCACGCATGAGCTGCCAATGGCTGACATCGAAGTTACACAGGGGAGTACCTTTATCCGCTTGTAACATCAGGAAATCGGTGATGGCCTTTCGCTGTTCGTAAAGGCGGTCTAACATGTGTAGGGTTGAATTCCACCTTGTTGCAACGTCGCAGATCAGGCGATGCTGTGGAATTCCGTTCTGCCGCTGCAGCTCAAGGAGGGTGTGCTTTGCGGTGTAGGAATGGCTGAAATGCATGCAAAGTTTACGTGACATTTTAAGGATGTCTTGCAGTGGGATGGTGGATTTTAGGAACCGCTTGACAACCAGATTGAACACGTGAGCCATGCATGGCGCATGGCACAACCTTCCTTGACGCAGAGCAGACACCATGTTCTTTCCGTTGTCGGTCAACATGGTTCCGATTTTCAGTTTGCGCGGAGACAGCCATCTGTCGATTTCTCTGTTCATTACACTGAGAAGTTCCTCCCCTGTGTGACTACGTTCGCCAAGGCATACCAGGTGCAGCACAGCGTGACACCGTTGCGCCCTGCACATGTGATATGCCGGTCGGGTAATGGGACTTGGCACGGGGGGGTGGCGGCTGAGGACACGAAGGAAGAAGAGGTGGTAGAGGCGGACATCTTTTGTGGACCAAGGACGTGCAAACGTGGAGGCAAAAGCGGCGTGACCTGTCCAAGTTGCTGGTGCGGCTGTGACGGCACCACGTTCACACCCAGTGGGCCGTAAATGACATGTACTGTCCCTGACCGTAGTTACAGCTCCACACGTCGGCGCTGCCGTGCACTTTGGCAGAGACCGACATGCTCAAAGACTGGCCCACCATCTCTTCTACATGTGAATGCAGGGCTGGCACTGCCTTTTTGGCGAAGAAATGACGGCTTGGCACTCTCCACCGCGGCGCGGCACAAGCCATCATTTCTCGGAAAGGTGCTGAGTCCACCACTTGGAAAGGGAGGGACTGCAGCACCAGCAACTTGGACAGGAGGACGTTCAGCTTTTGCACCGTCGGGTGCGTGCTCGCAAACTGTTGTCTCTTGGAAACGGATTCCAAGAAAGACTGCTGACGGAATCCGTGAAGAGGAGTAGCAGGAGAAGGAGCATCTGAACGAGCGGAAGATGCCAACGAGCGACAACTCCCCTCAGCAGAGGTGTTGGAGCCTTGACTGGCTGATAGAGGGCGATTGACGTCGGGTGACGGAGCAAGTAACGGAGCGGGTGATGGAGCGGGGGCTGGGGCAGGCAGAACCGCCGTATCTTTTATCACGGTTTTCCCAGGCCACCAAATGGCGACGCTGCATATGCTGCCGCAACGCTGTAGTCCCAACATGGGCCCCCTGGCCACGCTTGACTTTCTGGCCACATAGTCGACATACGGCTACGTTTACTTCCTCGGGCGGCTTGACGAAAAATTGCCACACCGCCGAGTAGGAAAACTTTGCCCCCGATACTCCTCACTGGCTGACTGCTGCTTCCTCCGTGCACACCGGCACCACTACTGGCCGTGGTGGTAGGCTGCAGTGGAGCTGGTGCTGTACTCCGTGGCCGTTTGCCTCCACTGACACTGCTGCGACCCTGCTGCCTCCTGGGCAACCCACCGACTGTTTTGCTCGCTGCCAAGCTGCCACCCTCTTCTCCTGATGATGATGCGGAAGCAATAGCCTGATGACGACGAGGCTGCCAAGTGCGATCAGCCTCATCATCATCAATTAGGGTCTCCGCCTCACTACTAGCCCCCTCGGCTGCGTGTGGGTCAGGAGACAGACCTGTCTCTAGACCGGCTACCGAGCCACTCTCCTCGCCACTACTTCTTCGCCTGGCTGCTGAAGAGGCGGATGTCTCCCCCCGTTCCTGACCGCCCTCTGTTAGCTCTTCCTCACTGTACAGTGGGGCTGAGCCCACAGCATGCGATACTTCGCTTGGTGAGGGAACACCAAAGGACAGGGGCAGGTAGAGGACACGTGATTTCAGTGGGCTTGCTCCCGGGCCATGCCAACTAACGGTTGTGTCTGACGTACCCAGACCGTTGGCTGTAGGTGTCAGAGGTGACCTGGGAAGAGGAAGACGACCGAGCCAACCAATCGATGACGGCAGGGTTGTCGGTGGAGACACGACCGCTGGATGACACTGGGAGCACTGGCCTCTGGCTGCGAATAGTGCTGCCTCGACCCCTTCCTCTGCTGCCACGTCTGCTCGCTCCTAAAACATTGCCTCCTCTGCCACTCCTCTGCATGTTGTCTGACATACTCTTTAATTAAACGATTCTGTGTCTGTCCCTCAGTAACGATTCGGTGTCTGTCCCTCAGTAACGATTCGGTGTCTGTCCCTCAGTAACGATTCGGTGTCTGTCCCTCAGTAACGATTCGGTGTCTGTCCCTCAGTAACGATTCGGTGTCTGTCCCTCAGTAACGATTCGGTGGCCCTCAGTAACGATTCTGTGGCCCTGAGTAACGATTCTGTGGCCCTGAGTAACGATTCTGTGGCCCTGAGTAACGATTCTGTGGCCCTGATTCTGTAACGATTCTGTGGCCCTGAGTAACGATTCTGTGGCCCTAACGATTCTGTGGCCCTAACGATTCTGTGGCCCTAACGATTCTGTGGCCCTAGTAACGATTCTGTGGCCCTGAG